GAAGTAGGGNGGGGGGTTAACGACGTACTCAAACAGTACCCCCCTCACACACACACACAGTACCCCCCCTCACACACGCACACACATCACACTCACACAGACGGACACACACACACTCGCAAACACACACACAAACATACACTCACACACACCCAGATACACAGACACAACAACACATACTTACCGGGTCCCCAGGCTGCCAGTGTAGCCTGTCGTGTGCATGTTCGTGTGTTGCCCACTGGTAATTTGCTGACATAGCTGTCCCAAATGCTGCACTTTCGTTAAGGTTACCCAACAGATGACATACCAAAACCACCTACAAAGTTCAGTTTTATATTCAACTATATTTACCACAAAGTTGAGTTTTATATATACCTGCCCATGGTGAGCACATCATTTTCAATCGTGTTGATTATTGATGGCAACTAATGAGAAATCATGGTGAAACCAGCCAGTTTGCCTGTACTGTTTGACAATGCTTTGTTTGACGTAAATTGTGCCATGTTTACAGTATTTGACATTAAAACTCGATTTGGAAAACATTTATGTCTTACTCATGTTGTGAGGCGACCCTCTTTTAGGAGACCACCTGTCCAAGGTGACCACTTTTCTTCGGTCCCCTGGGTGGTCACCTTGGGCAGGTTTCATTGTAGCAAGTTCTACCCCCGACCCAAAGGATACCGATGATCATGGCGAGAGCCCCGACGGCAGTAATGGCGGCCCGGGCGCGGCACAGTCGCAGCGAGGCATAGGCAGGGTAGAGACGATACGAGACAGCGGTGTGGAGACAGCTGTACACCACTCCCATCCCGAACACCAGCGCAGCGCCGATGAAATGTACTGTCTTCACGTTACCTTCCTACAACACAGGTATAACTACTGTTATATCAGCACAGTTTCAGTGTTAGAGGTGGGGTAACACAGGTATAACTACTGTTATATCAGCACAGTTTCAGTGTTAAGGGCAGGGTAGAGCCACAGGTATAACTACAGTTATATCAGCACAGTTAGGGGCAGGGTAGAGCCTGTAGGTGACAGCGGTGTGGAGACAGCTGTACACCACTCCCATCCTAAACACCAGCGCAGCTCCGATGAAGTGTACTGTCTTCATGTTACCTTCCTGGGGGGCATTTTAAGTTAGTTAGTTAAAGTCCTCTCCACAACCAATAGTATGGTCGCATATGGCGGTGCCCATCTCCATTTCTATCACCCTTGGGCCACACAGTCGTGCAATCACTACAGCAGGGGGCTAGACCACGGGTAGTGGTGTGTGTTTAACTCCCAACTCCCATACACACAGGCCACTACAGAAGGGGGCTAGACCACGGGTAGTGGTGTGTGTTTAACTCCCAACTCCCATACACACAGGCCACTACAGCAGGGGGCTAGTCCACTGGTAGTGGTGTGTGTTTAACTCCCAACTCCCATACACACAGGCCACTACAGCAGGGGGCTAGTCCACTGGTAGTGGTGTGTGTTCATCTTCCATACCCTTTTCAAATGCTGAGTGCTAAGCAGAGAAAGCAAATTTGTGTACCATTTTTGAAGTCTTTGGTATGACTCAGCGCCCAGGGATAGGAGACTCACATCCTACAGAATGTAAGGCAAGCACTCTACCGACTTGGCCATTGCACAGGTCTTTTTAAGACTAACGTAATTTTACCCGAGACAAGTACAGACTTATGACTAGCTTTAAGCACAACTCCAGTAAGATGCTCTGAGGAAGGTGTCTGATAGATACAAAATGTAAGCAATGTAAGACAATACTGGTTGTGTAAAAGAAAACCCCAATAATTCCTCTGTGCAATAGCTAAAGAGATTGTATTATGATATAATCTCAGACAAACTAAATATGTCTCCTATCTGTTAAAACTACCAATTTTGGGTGGCTGTACATGTATGACAGAACCTGCCAGATATATACTGTGATACAAAACGGGAAGTTTGACGAATATCATTAAGGTTTCACCTGGAAGTTTGGTTATAAGTGTGGTCTCACCTGGAAGTTTGCCACGAGTGTGAGGCCGACCGAGGTCAGCAGCCCGACCCACAGGCCGACCTTGTTCAGCAGCCGCACGCCGCGGGAGTTTGTCTGGTTCATCGCCTCGACCTGCTTATATCGAACGTACATGGTGCCCAGACCTGTAACACAAACACACCTGCTTATATCGAACGTACATGGTGCCCAGACCTGTAACACAAACACACCTGCTTATATCTCACGTACATGGTGCCCAGACCTGTAACACAAACACACCTGCTTATATCGAACGTACATGGTGCCCAGGCCTGTAACACAAACACACCTGCTTATATCGGACGTACATGGTGCCCAGACCTGTAACACAAACACACCTGCTTATATCGAACGTACATGGTGCCCAGGCCTGTAACACAAACACACCTGCTTATATCGAACGTACATGGTGCCCAGGCCTGTAACACATACACACCTGCTTATATCGAACGTACATGGTGCCCAGGCCTGTAACACATACACACCTGCTTATATCGAACGTACATGGTGCCCAGGCCTGTAACAGAATTGTATAATAATTGTCATTACAGCACAGTATACTAGGCCACTCGAACTCTTCTTGACACTAGTAAGTGTATTGCGTTCTTTTGTATGTAGGGGTTTGACACCATATTACTAGCTTCCTCATTCACAGTGCTGCCATCCCCATACACAAGAACGATATGTCTCTTTTCCAGTCATGTCCAGGCCACTAGTTGTACGGAATTCGAAAGAGACGCATGCAGACCACAACAACAAGCGAACATGACTGGATCAACCTATTAGTAAGTCTTTTCATACTAACACATCACAGAAAAAACTACTTAGGAAACTATCCAAGGAAACTTACTGAGGAATGCAGATATGTTCAGCATCTGGCCGAACACACAGCTCTCTGGGATCTTGTCTCCTGTGTCGCTAAACAAACAAACAAACAAACAAATAAACAATGTCATACAGTACTCGGTACAGGATGTCTGAGCAAGATAGATAGATGCTAGATTGATTTTCATATCTTTGTAATTAGCCCAAGGTATTGACTTGTGCAAGACTTCAGGGTACAGACTGAGATTGTGGCCATTGATATTCTCTAGCACACCAATGGGGCACTAAACTAGCCTCTACCAGGGAGGTGACTGAAAAGAGTAGAAATCGGCCAAATAGAGAGATAGAATGCCGGGGGAGTTGGTCTGCTGGAGAGAACAGTTTGCCGCTGCAAAATATACTCTCTAGCGGACCAACTCCCCTGGCATGCTATGATAGAAATCAGCCAAATAGAGAGACTCACTATTTGGCTGATTTCTACTCTTTTCTGCCATGAAAAAGCCTGGTAAAGACTAGCACTAACAAACAAACAAACAAACAAACAAACCTGATGTAGGGAAAGTCAGGCACGACGTCGATGCACAGGACGGCCATGATGTAGGTCGTTACCATGGTAGCAAACAAACAAACAAACCTGATGTAGGGGAAGTCAGGCACGACGTCTCCGCGCAGGACGGCCATGATGTAGGTCGTTACCATGGTAGCAAACAAACAAACAAACAAACAAACCTGATGTAGGGGAAGTCGGGCACGACATCGCCGCGCAGGACGGCCATGATGTAGGTCGTTACCATGGTAGCGGTCGTCCAGACGCCCAGCCCGATCGGCAGGAAACTCAGCCCCTCCGTGAACCAGAATCCCATCATGCACCACTGCAGGAAGTAGGAAACAAAAAGTTTGTAGTAAGAATATTCTTTTAATCAGGGACGATTTTAGAAGGTAGAAACGCGTACCTCCAAATTTTCGATGTCCAATGTACATCTTGATCATGGAGTGATCTAGTCTCGTGAGAACACAAGACTAGATTGAGACTTGTTTAAAGTTAAAACTTTTGGTCCAACACAGAAAGTTCTCTCACCTAGAGCTTTCAACCAGTCACTCTGGTCTTCCTCAGGCTTGTCAAGTGGAGCAGGGGTATTAAAGTAGGATTTCAACAACTCCCAACCATTGTTGCGATTCAGTCTCGATCTAGTCTCGTGTTGTTGCATTAGGGGGAATGCTCTATGCTAAATTCATAATGTAAACAGGTGTATTTGTTGCCAAACATCTGAGAAACAGTCACACCTCCCAAGAAGGCCACCCTGGGGGCCGAGTAAAAGTCAGGACAGGTGGTTGTTACAGACTGGGGTGGTCGGCTTGAAGAGAAAATCATTACTTTCAGGTGAGGCTATTTTACCTGCAGGTTTGACTGTATGTTAAATTCAGATCACCAACACACCTGGGCAGCTGCAAGAGTCTCATCAAAACACCTGGGAGTTACCTGGACAGCTGTTACAGTAAGATTCCCACCACACACCTGTCAGACTTTACCTGGGAAGGTATGATGGCCTACAAGGACTTCACCTGGGATGGTGCAAGACTCTAACTAATGTACCTGGAAATTAAGGCTTCACCTGGGCAGCTGTAAGATTCTCACCAACACACCTGGAATCACAAGAGTATTACCCTCACAACTGAGTGTTCAGACTTCACCTGAGCAGGTGTTAGTAGTCACGAGAGTGTTACCCCCACACCTAAGTTGACCTGTGCAGGTGCATTAGTAAGAGTCATGTGTGTGCACACCTGTTAATAGTTAACCCACGCTGTTACAACTCCGGGCCAGGCCAGGTCAATTTGTTGTTTCTCTGATGTTTGGCAACAAAATAAAACAGGTCTCAGTCCACAGCTGGTTCATGTATGTTGTCACTGACAGACTAAGCTCAAAGGGAAACGTTGAATTATACATTTGTAGCTCTATGATTAAAGAAAAAACAGAAAACAGCTTGCCATGTCAGGGAAGGGGTCTGAAAAGAAAACACAACCTGTCTTTTGTTGCAACTCAAAATCTTTTTTCACCATTTTCACCTAAAGTTGTTGAAAACACTTATCCTGGTTATTGATAAACCGGGTTGATATTAACTTGTATGTCGGTCTGGCACAGGTGTCACCAGCTGTCGGCTTCCTCTAGAGACTCCCCTCGGTATTACACTGACACGTGCACAAATGTACACCCCCTCTGAGTCTCCTTTCCCCCTCCGTGACCTCACAAGTCACAAGATTCTGAAGTCACCTTCCAAACTTCCTGTTCAGGACACATTTTATTAACCTCTCTATCTGTTAATGAGTAACTCTTCGTTAAACCTCCCTGTGTTAATGGCTAGGGTTGCATTTCCCAGCCGGGGCCCAGTGGGCAATGGACATAAGAACAACAAAATGCAGAGAACATGCTAATTAACAGAATCCGTCTGAATTCTCAATTTCAGCTCGGTTCCATTTCTGCCAATATTAGCAGTCACGTAGCCTCACCTGGCCTGTTTAATAGGGGACTCGTCAAAAAGCAGTTACTCAAGCAACTGGCTACGATTTTCCTAAATCATATCCAGACAAACAAACAAAAACAAACAAACAAACCTTGAGGGTTTCATTTCCCCGTCATAAAATTATGCAAATTATTTCCTGTATTCTAAATTTGACTGTTAAATCGGGGGAAACTGATAGTTGCGTATGTATTGAGTATAATCTAAATACATATGACTGGTATCAAAGAGCTTCAACCCTTGCTGGTAACGTTATATTCATTTGTGTGAACTATGATCGTAGCCTCTACCAGGCTTCGGGAGGCGTATGGAAAGAGTAGAAATCGGCCAAATAGAGAGAAAATATGGCAGGGAGTTTTTCTGCTGGGAGAGAACATTCTGGAGCGGCAAACTGGTCCCTCCCAGCAGAACAACTCCCCTGGCATATTATCTCTCTATTTGGCCGATTTCTACTCTTTCCAGCCGCCTCCCGAAGCCTGGTAGAGGCTAAGGAAAGAGGACATACAAAGAAACAAAACCTCTCACCTTCTGTCGTCTACAAACGTAGAGTAGCGACCCGGACAGGTCTGGAAACCAAAAGCAGAACTCCTGCGTCACATGCCGGGTTTTTCCTCCAGAAGGTCACAAAAATCTTTCTCTGCTGACAGCAGAAACCGGAAGTCGGAGTTTCGCTCCGATCAAAACAACACCAGCTGATCCGGGCAGACGCTCCGCCGCGCCGCCTGGCGGAGAATGTTGAAATGCAGCCGATAGGTTTTGAACATCTGCATCTGGCGTAACACACCAGCTTTGCAGGCACGCGGCGCGGCGGCAGCTGGCTGTATCACACCAAACGACTTGTTACACCTAACCCTTGAACATCTAACTGTAGACATTGTTTAAAGCTAATGATAATGTCCATAGTCCCTACTGTACTTGGTGACAGCGAGTTCCACTCTGCGATAGATCTAGGAAAGAATGATATGAAAACATGAAGTCGAAATTTTATGTTTCAACCTTTTTTCCAACCGACACTTCTTCTGGCTTGGAAAGGCTCCAGGTAAGGGTTTCCCGTCACCTCATGTTGTCAGAGAGCGTCCCCAACAAAAATGTTCGCGGTCCGATGAGAATGATGGTAAGATGAAGCTTGACCCCTGAAACGGGTAGTCTACAACAAACTCCTTTGCAGGCTAAAATCGGCTAGGGATCATTGGCCAGAGGAGTTGGCCGGCCATAGAGGGTCCAGCTTGCCTGCACGTGCCTCAGGCCAATTATATCCCCCTTTTAGGCCGATTTCTACTATTTATTCGGCCTGCAAAAGAGTCTGGTGGAGACTATCAAATGGGCGTTCTAGTCTCATTCTATTTTTCTGACTTTAAAAAATGATATGTCATGAATTGCATTTACCATCAATCCCTTCCTGAGTTATAATCTTCCAAGTCGGAAACGAAATACATATGGGCCCCTGCAGTATAAAACAAAACAACAGCCTTAATAATAGGGGGCCAACACCAATTCTTCACGTGCGGCCAAGACTTATAGTCTGCCCGTACCCAAAACACACACACACACACACACAACACACACACCACCCCCCACCGCCCCCCAAAATAAATCATCCCTCCAAGCAAACATGTCCAGAACACAAGATATCAAAACAGAAAGTTCTGCTGTAGTACAGTGCCAAGAAAATCCACCAGGGGGATTATAAGATTCTTCGACCACCTAATGACATCCCATTCAAAACTTCTTCATTCCTTTTGCAAAACGTTAACGATAAACGAACAAACGCTTCCAAGAGAGGGGTAACATCTTGATTGAAGCACTACCAAGTCCAAAACATATAAACTCCGTATATGTACATTTGCCCTCACACATAACATGATTTTGCACAAAAATACACATACAGCAGAAAGTAACCATTGGTGTATGGTCCGTTCATTTTGGGTCTGTTCATTTCTTGCGCTGAAAAACAGGACAGCGTTATGTGTTATTACTTCTATGTTGTTATTCGTTTTAAACCCCTGCCCGTGTATCCACAGACCACAGCCCACATCACTGCTTGTTGCTGCATTTCGCACGTCTTTTTTGATCCGGTATTTTGTTTGGGTTATTCGTTCGGAAGCCAAGTCTCCATATCAGAACCTAGATTCCCGCGGTTGGTGTGCTCGTAGTCTCCACTAGACTCCTTTGCAGGCTGAATAAATGGTAGAAATCGGTCTAAAATGGGGATTAATTGACTAGAGAACTTGGCCGGCCAGAGAGGGTCCATCTTTAGCCTCCGTAGCAGGCTTATAGAACTAGTTTTGGTGGTATTCGGCTGTTTTCTGATTAGCCCAGTTCTAAACAAAACGGGGGTAATTCAACCAGGCCGGCTATGTTGTCTATATGCAATCACATAAAAGATCACAAAGACCCCCCAAAACCCCCAGTTTTTGGCATGCTATGGAGGCTAGTCCATTTTGCCACCGCCCAGGCAAATGCGTGCAGACCGACCACCTCCTCTGGCCAATTATATCCCCTTTTAGGCCGATTTCTACTATTTATTCAACCCGCTTGGTTATTTTGCAACGTTATGTATTTGTTAATGTGTCGATTTCATTGTTTTCATGTGTGACTTGCTGTCACAGGGCATTCCTGAAAAGCAGTGGTTTTAAATAGCACTGAGGTCTCTACCCTGTTTAAATAAAACAGAAATAAATAAATAATAAAAAGCCTGCAGAGGAGTCTGTTGGAGACTAATGTGTTTGCGCGAGCGGCCGGTTTTAGCCGGCGGGCTATTCCGGGCCTCTCAAGGCGCAGGGAGAAATGTCTCAACTTCTCAAGACGGAGGCACGGCCCGAGGAAAAATGTCTCAAGACGGTGCTGAAAACGCAGCTGTATTTCTCCCGGGATTCTCCCCCAAAGTCACCTGAAGTCAAGATCAGGTTTATGAGTGACTCTCCAAGCAGATGATATATTATACTTTCTTCTTTTTCTTCTTACGGTACTGTATCTCACTTGCTTAGGTTTCTATGTCTATCAGACATCTCCCAGAGCTTCAGACTGTTCTGCTTCTCGCCGCTACGTGTACATGTAGCCGATGTGGTCACGCAGATGTGTGGGGTCCCTTCCCGTATTGATCAAAGTTATTCGGAAGATTAACAAGGTTACCTACTTCACTTTCCCACAGAAAGCAGTAGGCATTGGCCTAGGGTAAACTACACTCCCCAAACCGGCTAAACTCCCTAGGACTGAATACGTGGCTACTTCCTACTATTTTGCAGTATATTATATCCATTGGAGTTTGGTGGAGACTTACGTATAACCCTTTCAGACTAACTCTTACAATACAATGTCGCACAGTTTCATCCGCTCCTGACGTTTCCTAGCAACATGGGTCAGAGGTCAGTGTTACAAGTCGAACGTTGCCATGGTAATAAACATGACGTTATCCGTTATTTGTGACGTCAGTGTGTGCATGTGTGTGTGTGTGTGTGTGTGTTTGTGTTAGTTAGTATTGTGTGTGTGGTGTGTGTGTGTGTGAGTGTGTGTGTGTGTGTGTGTGTGTGTGTGTGTGTGTGTGTGTGTGTGTGTGTGTGTGTGTGTGTGTGTGTGTGTGTGTGCATGTGTCTGTATATGGCTGTGTGTCTGTATGTGTGAGTGTGCCTATGCTCTAGATTGGCATCCAGACAGCCTAAAATGACCTTGGAACACTGCAGGAAAGTTTCGTCAAGGTCGTCGGAGATAACATCTTGTCAGAAAAATTCCCAGAATTCCCCAACAAGGACGACCTTGCTGCCCTGAAGGTCAGATGACGTAGACTTGGAGTGTGACGTCAGAACAACAAACAAGGTGACGCTCTTCGCCATGTTAGGAAATATTTTGGGAATTAACAGAAGTCCATGATCATGATGACACCACAAATTGACTTTTTAAAATGGTGTCTCTTAATCAAGAGTGCGTCTTTTGAAATCTTGGAGTATAAGAACAGTGGTGTTAGGTCACAATCCTTGGACTGTGTGGTGTTGAAAGAAAACCCTCCCTCACAGGTCACAACGTTTGGAGGGTTATACTTTCCCCAAGGCGACATGTCTAAGCGTTTCTTCCAGGTGATTTTCTGACGGTTAAAACTCCCAGCGTGTGAGGTTTTGACAGTTAAACTTTCTCCCATGTGAGGTTTTGACAGTTAAACTTTCTCCCAGGTGATATTCTGACGGTTTAACTTTCTCCCAGGTGATATTCTGACGGTTTAACTTTCTCCCAGGTGACATGTGGATGGGTAAACTTTTAAAACCCTGATCTTACCTCCTATGTGAAATATTGAAGGTTAAAACTCTAAGCGTTCCTGCCAGGTGGCATTTGAACGGTTAAACTCTCTCCCAGGTGACAATTGGACGGTTAAACTTTCTCCCAAGTGACATTTGGAAGGTTAAAACTCTCACCGTTCCTCCCATGTGAGGTTTTGGCGGTTAAACTTTCTCCCAAGTGACATTTGGACGGTTAAAACTCTTACCGTTCCTCCAAGGTGATATCTGGAGGGTTACACTTTTACTGTTCCTCCAATGTGACATTTGGGTGGTTAAACTTTTTCCCAGGTGAAATTTTGACGGCCCATTGCGGTAGAAAATTTCTCCTGGAACAAGTTTAACCGTCCAAATGTCACCTGGGAGGAACGCTTAGAGTTTAACCGTCCAAATGGAAGCAAGGAGTTAATCTCAACACAATTTAAATCCAAGCATTGTGTGTTTCTAGCTCCATGGACGGCCCCCCCCCCTCAGCGTTCCTCCTAGGTGGCATTTGGACAGTTAGACTTGGCTTCCAGGTGAAATTTTGACCGTGTCTATAAAACTCCCAGCCAGAGCGTTCCTCCCGCCGCGCCCAGGCGGGCCGGTGTGCCGTGTGCAAAGCCGCCCGTCCTGTCAGGCGACATGTGCCGTGGTGCCGGGTGCAAACCCCGGGTACTTAAGCGGCTGAACTTGGGACTTCCCGTACGGACCCAGAGACCCGATCAGAGCAGACGGACGGAGTCAAGACTGTTGGCGGGACTTTCTGTGGAACCACACGGTGAGTAGGAGCGTTCCTCTCTCCGCCTGCTGAAGTCAGGACTCTGCTAGGGTGTGTGAAGTTTGGCTCCAAGCTGTCACTGCCCAGGAAAGGTGTGCCGATTCGCTTCCGCATTCCTTTCCACAGACGTGCCGTCATTACGTCAGGTGAGCGCGGCTGGCGTCGCGTCGGAACCTTAAGGGTAGCGCCGTCGCGTCTGAAGGTGTTGACTTCTGTCATACTTTAAGAAGTTTATGACCAGTGTGTGTGTGTGTGTGTGTGTGAAGGTGTCCTAGTTTATATAAGACTTGCCACGTACGTCCCTGCTGCTCGCCATGCATACTTCAGAGTGGCGCCGTGAAATTCCCGAGGAGTGACGTGCGAGTTCCGCATTCCTGGCGCCGAACTCACGGCAGGGACGGACCGGCTGGTAGTCTCGGGACCAGGCTCCTAAGGCTGGTGTTCTACCGGCCCAAGTCCTACTGAGCAGATGCCTCTCCTGACTGAGGGCCTGCATGGGGGGTAGTGATTACGAATTGCGCAAACGATTTTCGCCGCTGATTGCGAATTACGTCAACTTCTCAGAGCTGATGACGACTTTAAGCTTGGCGGCTAATGTACTATTACGAATTGCGTTGATTTTTTGGGAGGCTGCCAACGGAATACGAAGACTAAAAGGGCCTGATTTAGTAATACGTCTTACGAAAAAGGGCATGTAGGCTCTCCTGATTTGCTAGATCCTTTCAGTCGACCTTTGCCTTCATCGTAGCTGAACCGACTATGTGACTTAACTAATCTAATGTGAACCGACCCCATAAAAAACCCTGGCGTTCGCTATTGCACCTGGGCGGGTGGGTCGTGCCCCCAGCACCGTAGATATACCAGGGAGCCTACGTAGCCTCCGGCTTTTAGAACTGGGGGTTTGGTGGTCTTCGGCTGATTTCTGATTAGCCCAGTTCTAAAAAACGGGGGTAATTCAACCAGGCTGGCTATGTTGTCTATATGCAATCAGAAAATACCACACTTGAAAAGCTCCCAAAGACCCCAAACCCCCAGTTTTTGGCATGCTATGGAGGCTGGAGCCTATGGTGGTCTGACTACCAGGCTACAGTACTCCCAGCACCGTAGAGATACCGGGGAACCTACGGTGGTCTGGCTGCCAGGCTAGCTACAGTATAACAGCCGGGAAACGCACAGCGGGAGGCCAGGCCAGTCCGGTCTAGGTCAAGTTTACCGCAAGCTGCGTCTCCCAGATACGGGAATGTTTGTGTTCAGTACTGACGACTGTGAAGGGTTTGTCGTCACATAGCGGACGGCTTTAGACGTTTATACAACTGACGTCCCGGGTTCAAGGGGACGCCACTAGCTATAGACTAGTTTACTGTAGGAAGTATGTAGTCTCCACCAGACTATATAAACAACGCGGGTTCAAAAAAGTAACATATTTAGCCAATAGGGAGCATAATTGACTAGGGAAGTTTAGCCAGCGTAGAGTTCATTGGCCTGCGTAGTTTGAGGGGGAAATTAACACTCTCACGGACTGACTCTCCTGGCCGACTATTTTCCTTTTTAATTTACCGAATTCTAGGATCTGTAGGATGTGTATTCTAGGAAGGCCTGGTATGGAGGCTAAGAACTTCTGAAGTATGCGCTTAAGTCTACCCCAGGGCCTGACGTGACATATTATAAATGTGGGTGTTTGTGTCTCGTCGCCACTCTGTGTTGTATACGTACGTGAGAACAAACGTGAGCGAGTGATATACGGGCTAGCCTGGGCGCCGGGCTGTTGACAGGGGAATATACAATTATATATGGGATAGCTTCTCGGATCCGGGGCTAGCCTGGGCGCCAGGCTGTTGGCAGGGCTACTATACAACATACGGGATAGCTTCTCGGCTCCAGGGCTAGCCTGGGCGCCAGACTGTTGCCAGGGGCAGTATACAGGCTAGCTCCTCGGCTCCAGGGCTAGCCTGGGTGCCAGACTGTTGCCAGGGGCAGTATACAGGCTATCTCATAGGTTCCTGGGCTAGCCTGTGTGTCAGACTGTTGCCAGGGCCAGTATTCAGGCCAGCTCCTCGGCTCCAGGGCTAGCCTGGGTGTCAGGCCGTTCCTAGGGTCAGTATACGGGATAGCTCCTCGGCTCCTGGGCCAGCCTGGGCGCCAGAATGTTGAGATGTTCCCAGGGACATCTACACTACAGGCTAGCTCCTCGGCCCTAAGGCCAACATGCCCTTATTTAAGGAAATTTTTACCATAAACACTCCTTCTAATGCAGGGTCCTAACAGGCCCTAACAGCAGTCTGGCATCCAGGCTATGTACGGCCGGATTTCAGTGACGTTTGCAGTCGGCTGAAGTTCATGTACTAGACTCCTGTCCTTTATTCTAGCCTCCCTGGCATAAACAACACGTACTGCAATGTTTATGGCTGATACGTGATCCGCCAGGCTATAAGAGACTTGTTGTGACACACATTTAAGGCTGTACAGCATGTAAGTTGTGTAACGGACACATGGGCGTGAGATATCATGAACCCCATGAATAGTTCGCACCGTTTTGTAACGATTTGTGCCTTACGTTAACATCAACATCGTCTGTGGTTGACGCATTTAGATTGTGACTCAGGGTCTAAAGAAAGAAAAAAGGGTAGCCTGGTCACCAGCTCCCGAGTCCTACATCCTCTCCGCAAATAGAGAGGATTGTAGGACTTGGGAGCTATAATAGGTTTGGTAACCAGACTAAAGGGTGGTCTGTGACTGTGTACTTGCCCTGGCAACAGTCTGGCATCCAGGCCACTCCAAACGCGGATGTGTCAATGCGTTCTCTCAGAACCAGCCGGCTGGCTGTGCTCCATAGCAGGCTTATAGAACTGGGGGTTTGGCGGTCTTCGGCTGTTTTCTGATATAAATGGGGGTAATTCAACCAGGCCGGCTATGTTGTCTATATGCAATAAGAAAATAGCACATGAAAGCTGGCAAAGACCCCGAAGACCCCCCAAAACCCCCAGTTTTTTGGCATGCTACTCCAAACGCGGACGTGTGGGCTGCCGTTTTCATACAGCGAACTCTGGAAACCGGCCGGCTGGCTGTGCTCAAGTTTGGCAGGACAGAAACCGACCCACTGGCCTGCGGTCATGTTTGACAGGAGCAAAAACACGCCCGGGTTTTGTCCTTTCGTACTGCTCAGCCCAATAGCAACTGGATTATTAGCAGCTGCACATGTGCTAGTCACAAAACAAGTGACCGGTACGAATAAAACAAAGGGAAATGAAGGTAAGGGCACCAAGGAAAATAAATAACCGATTCTGTTGGTGTAAAAGACAGGTGAACTTTGAAGTATATATTACTATATACATCATACACTAGTTTTGTCAGGTTTAATACTTCGTATAGGTCGGCGCGCTTTATAATCTCCGCAGATGTTTAGTTGTACGATGTTTTGGGAGGGAAAATAGATACAGGCTGCCCAATTTGATACTGTCATACCCCCACGACAACATCTGCTTGGAGATTAATGTTTTGCCACTTTTCTGCCGTTTTCCACACGGCTTTGCGCCCCAAGTGTGCTGTTTTCTAGGCTACTCCGTCCGGCCACTTGTAAACACGGAAAGCGCGGCGACCCAAGTGTGCCGTTTCTAGGCTATCCGTCCGGCCACTTGTAAACACGGAAAAGGCGGCGACATGACAGGAGACTGGCGGCGAAAACAAGCCCGGGTCTGTTGTACCGAGAGGAAAACAAGCGGGGTTTGTAGTACGGGTTGTTTACCCTGGATGCCAAACTCGTTTGGGGCCGTCAACCGTTCCCTTCGGCAGCCAGAAGCCCTTCGCCCGCCTGTCTAAAATGACCGCTACTGGGGAGTCTGGCCCGGGGGAAGTTTGGCTGGCCCTACAACGGGCTCAACTCCACCGCAGCGGTAATTTACGTCTGCGGGCGAAGGGCTTCTGGCTGCCGATGGGAACGGTTTAATAGCGGCCCGTAACTTGCTTGTCTGGCACCCAGGGTACATTTGGGGTAGGGTTGTTTGACAGAGCGTCGGTTCAGCACCAGTGACAGGGTGTCGGGTTCAGGGGGCCCAGCCGGGCTACAGCTGGCCCTGAGGAGGCCAGGCCGGATTAGTTAGCCTCTACCGGGCTTCGGGAGGGAGCTGGAAAGAGTAATCTCCAAGCAGATCCCTTTCGGTGGCAAGACAGTATCCGTTAGCCAGAGAAGGTCGCCGGCCAACGACTTTTGGTGAGGGTAGCGACAAAAAACAACAAAAAAAAAAACGGCCATATATAAAAAGCTAACGATCATTCCCCCACATCCTCTGCTTCGGAGAGTTAGGAAAGAATAGAAATTGGCCAAATAGAGACATAACATGTGTAGGGTAGCCGAGGCTAGCGGGGTGAGCCGAGCTGTCAGAGAACTGCACAAGACGAGATCTCACTCTAGACTGACTCCTGCCACATGGCCGGAGGTACTTTATTCCTGTTAATGAAGACCATATGTCTTGACCGCCCGTGCGGTCACAGTCTTATCTACTCCCATATCTACTCCTAACATTGGCCCCCCCTTACAAAAGGAGTCGTCCCCGACTCCGCAGCAGGAAACAAAACAATAACAACAACAAGAGTAGACGGGGCATATCATGCTGGGAGCTAGTGTGTTGGGTTCGAGCTAATTACTTCCGGACGGAGATACAGTGAGTAAGCACGGATCAAAACAACTCTATCTAAAAACAACAAAACTGGTACATAAACAAATATAAACAAATCATACTGCGTCGAAACGAGGGCACAAAAAGTCGCTAGAGGACATGCGAAGCAAATACATAGTAATACATATAAAAAAAAACAAGAATACGCAATATAAGAACGACGCTCAACATAATAGAGATATGATAAAGATGATAAAGTTCGTATGAGAGGAGTGTTCGTTCAGGCATAGGTTTCAGTAGTAGTCAATTAACGGAGCTCATTCCTAGAGTTCATTAGCCGTAATCGAAGTCCATAAACCGGTCAGGGGGTCGACTGATGCGGCCGGATCGAGTTCTGATGATGTGCGGACGCTGAGCTGGCTGGACAGGAGCGGCTGGAGGCGGGGCAGGTGGAGGTGGAGGTGCTGGCTGGGCAGGTACTGGAGCAGGTGCTGGCTGGGCAGGTACTGGAACAGGTGCTGGCTGGGCAGGTACCGGAACAGGTGCTGGCTGGGCAGGTACTGGAACAGGTGCTGGCTGGGCAGGTACTGGCACAGGTGCTGGCTGGGCAAGGACTGGAGCAGGTGGATCAAAGTGATACTGTTGGATGAAGCCTGCGTAGCCGGGGCGAGGCGCATCAGGTGGTGCTGGCAGGCGGCGGCGGGTAGGGGCGATGTAGGGCTTCAGTCGGTTGTGGTGAACGACCTGTAGACGCTGGTTGCCGGTCTCAGGACGGATGCGGTACAGGATTGGTGTCGGAGAGTCGGCTGGCAGGGTGGCGGTGATGACGAACGGACCGGTCCAGGGCAGGCGGAGTTTGTGCTGAGCCGTGGGCGGGTGGTGAAGCCAGACACGGTCGTCAACTTGGTAATGGTGACGGCGTACGTGGGGGGTATTGTACTGATCTTGTGTCTGGTGGGATTGGGCTATAGCTTGGCGAACGGAGGTGAGGGCGGCGTTGAGATCGGCGAGCTGTGTTGTTGTGGCGGGTAGTTGGCAGGCGATATCTACAGGGAGGCGTGCTTCCCGGCCGTGAACAAGGAAGTAGGGTGTGAACTTTGTTGTAGAGTGTACGCTGGTATTGTAGGCCAGGGCTACATGCGGGAGGAGGAGATCCCAGTCGTGTTCGCGACCGGCTAGTGCTTTGGCAAGGATATTCTTCATAGTCCTGTTGAAACGTTCGACTTGGCCGTCACCTTGCGGGTGATAGGGAGATGTTCTGGTTTTGCTGATTTGTAGGCGGGCACAGAGTTCGGCTACTAATTGTGATTCAAACTGCGAACCCTGGTCAGAGTGGATTTGGTCGGGTACGCCGTGCTGGCCGACGAAGTCACGGAAGAGTTTGTCAGCGACGGTGGCGGCGTCCTGCTTCGGGATTGGGTACAGGTTCACATACTTAGTAAAGATATCGGACACCACTAGGACATATTTGTTTCCAGCGGAAGATAGTGGCATGTACGTGATGTCCGTCGCGACAACTTGGAAGGGGCGGTCGGCGGTGATGTGCTGGAACGGCGCACGCAGTGACGGCACAGGCTGACGGCGCTGTTGGCACGGTACACACTCACGACAGTGACGGGCTACGTCCATCGTCATTCCTAGCCAGTAGAACCTTTCCCGAGCGCGGTGTAGGGTACGGGAGGGCCCGAAGTGTCCGGCTGTGGAATCGTCGTGCAGGGCGGGTAACACGTGGCAGGCCAATTCGCGTGGAATCACTAATTGCGGCTTCACGGAGGGGGGCGAGTTGACTGGGCGGCGGTACAGGAGATCATCAGATAAGAATAAGGAATCAAAGTCCGACCAAAACAAAGTCAAGTCTCTGTGCTTACCGCGTACAGCAAGGGCGGGAGGGCGACCGGCGGGGTCTTGTAGCCACTGGCGAACTTCTCTGATGGTTGCGTCGGCTTGTTGTGCAGCGCGAAAGTCAATGGCCGGCGCGGTGGCAAGTTGAGCGGCGGAGCAGATGGCTTCTTGTAGGGGATGCTGGTGACTGTGGCAGACACGGGTGTCGCGTACGACGTCAGGTGGCGAGGCTGGCACAGGAGCAGACGGGTCGTCATCGGAGATGACGTTAGCAGAGTCACGGTCGTCGCGTACGACTTCAGGTGACGAGGCGGGCACCGGAGCGGGTTGGTCATCAGCGGAGACGACGTTAGCAGAGTCACGGTCGTCGCGTACGACGTCATGTAGCATTTTAGGCTCAGTTGAATCATCAGCAGAGATGACTTCAGCGGGCTCGGCGGTGTCGCGTACGACTACTTCCGCGGAGTCAGGTGTGTCGAGCGCGGCGTCGACGTTGTCAGGCGGTGGAGAGGGTGGGCGGCGCGATAGGGCATCAGCGTCCGTGTTGGTGGGACCAGGTCGGTACTTGATGGTAAACTGATATGTACTGAGTTCAATGGCCCACCTCGTGCGTCGGCCCTGCGCCATTCCATCTCCAAGTGGGACTTCCCGGCAGGACAGCAGCGGACGGTGGTCTGTCAGCAGGGTGAAGTTACGGCCGTAGAGGTATGGGCGGAAATGGCGAATCGCCCACACCGCTGCCCAGAATTCCCTGTCGTACGTACTCCATCGTCGCTGTGTCCTTGACAGGGTCTTGCTGGCATATGCGACAACGCGTTGGGTGCCGCCATGAGTCTGCGTTAAGACTGCGCCTATCCCGGAGGTGGACGCGTCGGTTGCTAAGGTAAAGTCACTGGCAAAGTCCGGGAAGGCGAGGAGCGGAGGTTGGTCAGCTGGTGCTTCAGGGTGTCGAACGCAGACTGGCAGGCTGGGTTCCACTGGAAGGTGTGGTGTTTGTCAGTCAGTCGCACCAGAGGTTCCGCCACAGTCGCAAACGCTGGGACGAACTTCCGGTAGAAGGAGGCCAGGCCCAGGAATGACCGGATGTCGGTCTGGTTGCTCGGAGTAGGCCAGTCCTGGACTTTGGCGATGTTGTCTGGGTCAGGAGCGACGCCGCGGCGGGACACCACATGTCCCAGGAATGTCACTTCCTTCTGTGCGAAGCGGCACTTGGCCGGATGTAATTTCAGGCCTGCTTGCCTGAGACGAGTAAACACCTCCTGCAGGGTGTGCAGATGTTCGTCGAAGGTTGGCGTAAAGACGATGATGTCGTCAAGATAGGCAAGACAGACATCCCAACCAACACCGGCGAGGATGAGCTGAACAAGGCGTTGGTACGTTGCCGCTGAGTTGGAAAGGCCAAATGGCAGGACCTTGAACTGCCATAACCCTTCCGCCGTACAAAACGCAGTTTTGTGTCGGTCTGCGGGATGGACGGGAACTTGCCAATAGGCGCTCTTCATGTCCAAGGTCGAGAAGTAGTAAGACCCGGCAAGTGCGTCGATTGTGTCGTCTATGCGGGGGAGAGGGTGGGCGTCAGGCACTGTGACGGAGTTTAACTTCCGGAAGTCCACACAGAAGCGAGGCGTGCCGTCCTTCTTGGTTACTATGACGACAGGGGAAGCCCACGGGCTGGTGCTTGGCTCGATGACGTCCTGCTCCAACATGGATGAAAGTTGCTCTCGCAGGGCGTCGCGGCGGTGGACAGGTGTTCGGTACGGTTGTTGACGGATTGGTTTAGCGTCTCCGGTGTCTATTCTATGTTCCACCAGGGTCGTACGGCCGATGTCGGTGGCGCTGGTAGAAAAACAGTCGCGGTTGGCCTCTATGAGGTCCGAGAGTCTGGTCAACTGTGGCTGAGGAAGGTCAATGTCGGATAGGTCGACTACTGGTAGGGACGTCTTAGGGACACGCACCTTTTTCTTTTGCACTGTCGGGGCGGCGGTCGCTGGGTCGGCGGCGTCCTGGATGTGGTAATCCGAGTCGGGGGTGGAGGCTGCGTGGAATTGTCCGACATTGCACTTTTCCGGGAGGCGAACTGGGTGGTTGTTTGTGTTCATAATTTGAACCACAGCGCGGCCATCTTCAACGTGGGAAACTGTCCTGGCGGCGGCTACTCCATCATACGTAACGCGATGCAGCTGGGGCTCAAAGACGCCGTCGAAGTGGTGAGGGACTCCACCCCGGGTGGTGGAGAGTCGGACGGGCACAGTACAAACACTATTAGCGGGCAGGATCATCGTTCGGCACACTGTGACGTCGGAGACACGAGGAGCTAAAGGAGACCGCGGCAGCAGGGGTAGAGTTGTCGATTTTATCTTCACGGTGCCAGATGCTGGGTTGATCGTTACATCATGAGAATGACAGAACTGCCATCCAAGAATAATATTGTTCGTCGCATGGCGCATAACATGAAACGTCTCTAGCACGGAGGTGGGACCCAGATGGACGAGAGCGCGGGTAGTTCCCACGATGTGGAGTTTCTCGCCGTTAACCGAACGAACCGTGTTAGATGTGTGACTGATGGGCAGACAGCGTAACGAAGGAGATGAAAGTCTAAAAGTGTCACTAATGATAGAGATGCACGAACCTGTGTCAATGACGGGTACTCCGTGGTAGGGGCGCCTTGAAGATCAACGGCAATAAAGGGCGAAAAAGTTGAGTCCGAGGCTGGGTTGGGCGGGGGTTTAGCTGGCTGTTGGCGCGTACAACCAGCTAATGTCCGTTTCCCGAGGGTGGGGTAGGGGTAGGGCAGGAGGCGGCGTAGTGTCCGTACCCGTGGCATTGGTGACACTGCTCATCTGGGCGGACGGGGCGGCGGGGAAGACGGCGGCGGGTCTCTGAGCGTGGCGCGGGGTCATCTCGACGGTCGCTGCCTCGTCGATTGGGCGGCTGGTCACGGTCGTCGCGGCGGCTGTGTTGCTGGTGCTCGGGTTGGCGTTGGTTGGAAGCCTGAGCGTGTAGCAGGTCGACGATCTCTGTTAACTTGGATGCCAGAGTCGCGACGGTGGCGGTCGGGTCCGGCGTCGGGGCTCTGGTCGAGGTGATCCTCGCGGCGGTGTGGTCTGCCGTGGGGAACTGGAGGTCACGGGCGGCGGCGTGGCGGGCCTGTTCACAAATGGAGGCCTGACGGATGGCTGCATCGACGTCAGCGGGGCCGAACTCCATGACTCTGTGTCGCAGGTCAGGGTCCAAACCCGCGAGGAAGCGGTCCAGGGCAACGCCAGCCCGTCCGGCATCATTGTAAGTCGGGTAGGCGAGGCGGACCAGGCGTTGAATCTCCGCTGCATACACTGACAAGCTCTCGTTGGGGCGACGGGGTCTCGCGTTGGCGGCCCGACGGAACTCCTCCAGCAGGGCGGTGCGGCCGAAGGGTCCGACCATGGCCGCTCGGATCAGGGCGAGGTCGGCCTTCGTCGCGGCTGGCAGCTCGGTGTAAAAGCCGAAGGCTGGGCCAGTGAGGTAGGTGGGGAAGTGCCTCAGCCTGGCTGCCTGGTCCAGCTGCTGGGCATCGGCCCACACATCGAACTGCTGAATCCAAAGCTGGAAATCGTCGGCCGCGGTGCCGTCGAAGGAGGGGGGAAGCCGGGAACGTGGCTCAGCCATGGCGTGGGTCGTAGGTACTCGTAAGTTAAGTTGGAACCGCTGCCACCAAATGTAGGGTAGCCGAGGCTAGCGGGGTGAGCCGAGCTGTCAGAGAACTGCACAAGACGAGATCTCACTCTAGACTGACTCCTGCCACATGGCCGGAGGTACTTTATTCCTGTTAATGAAGACCATATGTCTTGACCGCCCGTGCGGTCACAGTCTTATCTACTCCCATATCTACTCCTAACACATGCCGACTGAGGGAGTTGGTCCGCTAGAGAGTACATTTTGCCTCACCCGAGCTAGGGGCTAGTCTCCACCAGGCTCCTTTGCAGGCCGACATAATAGTAGAAATCAGCCTAAAGTAAAAAAGAATGTAACAGGCAAACTGGACCCTCTACGACCGGCCAACTCTCCTGGCCAGCTACATTCTTTTAACTTAAGGCCGATTTCTGGGGGCCTGCATGCCTTTTTTTCGTAAGGCGTAATCGGGCCTTTTTAGTCTTCGTAATCCGTAGGCAGCCTCCCCCCCAAAAAACAACGTATGTAATTCGTAATAGTACAATTTATAATAGCCGCAAAGTGTACAGTCGAAATCAGAATTCAACGTAATTCGTAATCGGCGGTGAAAATTTTGCGTAATCCGTAATCAATACTTACAAGTCCGCCTGCAAAGGAGCCCGGTGGATCGAGGCTATCCCTGCGGGGCGACATGTGGCCCACAGGAAGCCAGGTAGGCCGGAAATATGACAAAAATGGGCAGGAATTCGCCATCTCCCGGCACTGCGGGGGCTGGACGGAGGCCAAGTGCACGGTCGACTCTCACCCTGTCCTTATTAACCAGCACAGCCGGCGCCGACTCATGTTGAAAACTGGAGATCGACCGCTGGCTTTTTTCGTATCAATGGTTTATTTGCATTAAAACACAACAACACTGTCCCAAAAATGGCAGCCAGAGGCTGAATTGACATTGGGGCATCACATTCGTAGTGGCGGTCTGCGTTTGCTTCTAGATTTCTTTGACTGTATGAGAGTAGAATTTGGACAAATAAAGAGAGAGAGAGAGTACATGCCGAGGGAGTCGAGTGCGGCAAACTGTACTCTCTATAGATCTAGCGGACCAACTCCCCCGGCATGTTCTCTCTCCTCTCTCTTCTGCCAAATTATACTCTTTTTAGCCACCTACCGAAGCCTGGCAGAGTCTATTAGCGCGCGGTGGTTTCTTTACGCTGGTAATGTATATCTGCGTCGGTTGACCCCAAAAGAGCCCCCTCGAAAAGAAACTGTCAAATCTAAAACTAAATAGCCTGGGTACCATCCTACTTGTATGCCGGCGGGGTTCCCACACTCGCTTCCCTTAAATGAAAGTTTTATTACAAATTCATGCCCGAAGGCTAATTGCATGAACAGAAGAAACATTTGTATAAAAACAAGTAATAAGTACACATAGAACTACTGGTAACTATTAAGAGACTACTAGTAGAAAAACTACTGGGTTTGACTTCTTTTTTGAAGACAGAGGAAGACAAAGGATCCCACTTTTTCTATAATTTGTGGGTTTTCGGATGTTAGGAGGAGAGTAGTTTTCTTTTCATTTGTATATGCGTGAAAGTTTGGGTAGGATTTGGAGACTAAGTCAAAGAGTTCATTTCGTTCATTGCTATAGAGAGTACAATTTGATATAGCTCCCCCTCTAAATCTCTTGATATAGCTCTCCCTTAAAATGTGGGAGCCCCGGCGTACAAGTAGTGGTACCCAGGCTAAGAACCAAACGCAGCGCGCCAGAAAAGTAGTCTGCACAGGAGGTTGATATATCGATAGAGCACGTCCTCGGAAAGACACACGGTGTGTGTAAAGAATGTTGACAGTGTCATTAGGCGGCGGGAAAAGTTTATTTCTTGTTTACGGGCCGCTGAGAGGAGTTCTGTCCCGTACGCGACACTTCATAGCGCGTCTGGCGGTCCGGCCGTCACCTTGGCGCATTCCGGGACGCGCCGTGTTTTTCCCACCGCGTTCCTGACATACCCCGAGATCCGCCTGGCCAAAATCGGCCGCCGGGTACAGTTTGTGCCAGGCAAACTAGCCTCCACCAGGCCTTCTTGCGGGGGTACGGATCTTAGCTAGCCTGGGTTCCATCCTGGTTAGTTTACGTCCGCTCCTACAGTCGCTACCACCAACCAGGATGGAACCCAGGCTAGATCTTAGCCTCCACCAGGCCTTCCTACGGGGGTACGGATCCTAGCCTCCACCAGGCCTTCCTACGGGGGTACGGATCCTAGCCTCCACCAGGCCTTCCTACGACGAGGGTACGGATCCTAGCCTCCACCAGGCCTTCCTACGGGGGTACGGATCCTAGAATTCGGTAAAATAAGGGAGTTGGCCAAGAGAGTCAGTTCGCGCGAGGGTTAATTCCCCCTCTAATTAACTCTACACTAGCTAAGTTCTCCTAGTCAATTATTCTACCTATTGGCTGAAATTTACTTGTTAGCCTAGTCTCCACCAGACTCTTTTGCAGGCTGGATAAATACATGTAGTAGAAATCGACCTAAAAAGAATGTAGCTGGCCATTGGAGTTGGTCGGCTATAGTAGCCTCCTGTGCAGGCTCTGGGGCGGGTGGGAATTTTGATACAGCCTTTTGAACTTGAAGATGGTCACGTGTGTAGGATGGACGGCTATTAAAATAACGCGTTAAAAACTCTTCAAAACGCTGTATCGAAATCCCCACCCGCCCCGGAGTCTGCACAGGAGGCTAGGGCCATAGAGGGTCCTGTTTGCCAGCTACATTCTTGTTAGAGTGATTTCTACTATTCATACAGCCTGCAAAAGAGTCTGGTAGAGAATACAGTACTAGCACACGGCTGGGACACTGCCCGGACTGTTTAAATAGCTCTAAACTACTGGAACAATATTTGCCGAGTCGTCAGCGTGCAGTGTGCTGTATTGCCTGTAGGTAAATTTGCGGAGCTGTTATACAGGACTGACGGTGGGAAACACGCCACACAACAGGCGCTACTGTGTGTAGGGCTAGGGTAGCCTCTACCAGGCTTCGGGAGGTTGTAGGATCTAGGAAAGAGTAGAAATTGGCCAAAATAGAGAGATGACATGTCAGGGGAGTTGGTCCACTAGAGAGTACATTTTGCCGCAACCGACATGTTATCTCTCTATTTGGCTGATTTCTACTTACTCCCTGCCGCCTCCTGAAGCCTGGTAGATGCTAGCGCTAGCGGGTACTAGGGGGTAGTACCGAGTAGCCTCTACCAGGCTCCTCAGGGTGTTCAAGAGAAATAGTGGAATTCTAATAAAATGTTGAACTTTATTCCAACAAAAAGATTACACAGAGATCAAATTTTCAACGACCACTGTCGCCTTCATCAGGGTAGGATAATTAATTAGGCCATGTTGATTTGATTATATGGATGACATCCTCCGGGAGCCCCAAAACTGATGCGCGCGTGCGAATAAAAAACGTTTTGCAAAAAAAAAGTTCTTTTCATTATGAAATCTACGTGGTCATGAGGGTTGAGCAAATGGCACAGAATATGGTTTGGCGAATAATTTAGTCTTCAAGTTCATTTCTTTACAATTTCGTCTTTTTCGTTTGATTTTGGCATTCTACGACATTGGTATAGTTTTTATTAATTTTTTTTTGTAACTTATGGTATATTTTTGCTCATTTTGCAACTGTTTTGTACGATTTACAGTATGGTTGAAAACTTTTTTTTTTTGGAAACGGCCGAGAATTCATGCGCGCGCGGATGTCATCCATATAATCAAATCAACATGGCCTTACCAATCACTTGAAAAGTTAAAATGGACTTTCTTGACAGTATAATTCTGTTGGCCAAATAGACTGAATACTTAGTAGCATCCCTACGTAGGTTGCGTACCTGTTAAATATTGCCACTTCTCACATACCTCTGGTAGTAGTATTCTCTACTACTAGTATTTTCCCAGCAACCCGAGGAGGCTGGGAAGAGGCTACTTTAATACCTAAAAGACCCGTCAGGAAATAAAGGAACGTTTTTGGCGCGAGTTCAGTCGTGACGGGGTGTTGGCCCGGCCGCCGGACGAGCCTTATATGGTAGTGCAGACCTTATATGGGCATAGGCCGGGGCGGGAACGACATGTTATGTACACGGAGCGCCTTATATGGTAGTGCAGACCTTATATGGGCATAGGCCGGGAAAGGCTTGTTATGTACACAAAGCGCGGGAAAAGGAACGCAGCGCG